GGAAGGGAATAAGCATTTATATAAAATCTACTATGTGCCAGGCATTGTGCTAAGCACTTTTTACAAATATTGTCTCATTTGATTCTTCCAACAACCCAGGGAGGCAGGTGCTAATATCATTCTCATTTTACAAGCGAGGAAACTGAGTCCCAGGGAAGTAGTGACTCACCCAAAGTCACACAGGTAGCAGATAAGCATCAAAGGCAGGATTTGAACCCAGGACCTCTGACTGCAGGGCTCTTGATCTTTCCATTGTACCATACCACTTCCCTATATCAGGAGGTTCCTCTGTCTGTACAGCCTAAGATTAAATGAGCAAGTTCAGGAAGGAGGGACGAGCAGGCAGAGAGGACTCCATGGAACACAGAACTAAGCACCATGCCCCAGAGCTGAGTACCTTCATCTCCACCTTCCCTTTGAACTGATTCTTTTTATATGGTATTCCCCCCACTATTGGAATGTAAACTCCTCAAGCACAGAGATCTTTTCCTAGTGCTTGGCACACAATAAGCCCTTAATTAACTGCTGGTTGACTGATTGACCGGTACAGGCAACTCCCAGGTGAAGAATTTCCCTCCACCTGTGCAAGTTTATATCTCCTCTGCATTTTAATCTTAGAGAGTTGCAGCAGAGCACTGAGAGGACCAGAGACTTGTCCAGGGTCACACAGCCAGCAAGTGTCAGAGGCTGGACTTCAACCCAGGTCTTCCTGATTTTGAGGCCAGCTCTCCGTATAATACAGAATGCTGCCTCCCATACAAGACAGTTATACAAAATCTATTAAGAACCGGGCAGGAACGAAGGGATTCCCCAGCCAGTTGTTTCAGGAGGCCAAACCCCCTCTCCTGAGATTACAATGTTCCTCTAAATAGACAAGACGCACGATGGAACCAAGAGTTCCTTGGCCACTCCAGAGTCCATGACTAGCTCCAGAGCAGGAGAGCCATTAACCCAGCCCCTTCCTCCTGGTCTCTTGACTCCCCTCCCTCCGAGTTCAGGCTCAGCCAGCATTTATGGTCATCTCCCAAGGCTGAGTCTACACCAATACCTCTGCCCTCTGGCTGGATCAACTCCCCTTAGAAGCCATTTCGCTAGGCCAGTACTCACCCAGAACAGAGGCAGCCAGGTCACAGAGCCCCAGGGAGGGGGATGGAGATCCATTGGACAGGCACAGAAGCACATGGAAAAGAAAAAGACACTGGTGAGCCACCCAACAAACGAGTCCTTTGTGACCCCCACCCTCAAATTAAACTGTTTTCCCTAGACCAGAAAATCAGTTAGTATCTAATCTGTACACAGATTGTTGAACCCGGGGGGGATGGACCCCTTGAGGTAAGGAAGTGGTTTCATTTTGCACTTTTATCTCCAGAAGGATACCAGGTACACAGTAAGGGCTTAATAATTGCTTGTTAAACTGGGTTGAATTGGATTGGGATTAGGTAGAGGTGATCTGGACCCTCCCCTACTCCTGGACTGGGTAGCACATCTTTTTGGCAGCTTGGCATCCTCTTGGCACTAACTAATGAAGTGCAGAAGGGACAAAAGAACATGGAATTTCAATTCAGAACACTTGGGTTCAAATGCCAGCTCTTCCATTTTCCATTTGGGAGACCTTGGGGAAGCTCCAACTTTTCTGGCCTCAGCTTCTCTTGCCACGTGACAGAGTTGGACTAGGGGGCCAACCAATGCTTTTCCAGCTCTAAAACTTATTAATCTCCCAAAAGTCTTTGGTGACCAAACGGGAATCGAGAGGGTTAGAAGTGGCAGGTGAGTCCCTTCCGTGGGAATCCACCAAGGACATACAATGCCATGAGGCTTAGGGGACTGAAAACATAGATTCTGGTCTCTCATGGAGCAATTAATTTCCCCACTCCACACCTGTTTTTCTCAGCCATAAAATGGAATGATTCCTGTTCCAAGATCTTAAATTCTTCAGAAGAAATTTGACTCATGTTTAACCTTCCCTTTGGGAAGAGGTGAGTTGTACAAAGATGGCTGTGAGACCATGTCACTTAATTCGCAGTGCCTTACCGCCCCCCCCATTACACATTTGCTGTTTCACATGTTTTGCAGCAAGTCGAGACTTTCATGGATATCAAATTAACAGAAATTTCCTTCCCTTTCCCTGCTCTCAGACCTGTTCTCCAACCTCAAACTACTTCCCTAAGTCCTGATCCTGACCCAGCCTCTGTTCTTCCTCCTCCTCCCTTCATTCACGCTAATTCCCTTCCTCCAGCAATTACCCCAGTCCGAGACCCAGGAATTCCCCAGCCTGACCCTGCAATAGAGACTGGGAGGGGACAGCTCCCAGCCCCGAACTTTGCCCAGCTTCCTTCTGAGACACATTGCAGCAAGCCTGGGCAGGCCAGACAGAGGCGGCAGAGAGGATCCGGGCAAACTCAGGGACTGGAGTGGCAGAGCGCCCAACACGTCCCTCGCCCCCTCCCTTGGAGAGAGCAGAGCCAGGGGGGTCAATCCAGGCCGCTAGGGGAGCAGCTCCCAGGTCTCGGACAGCAGGCGCACCAAGTGGTGCCCAGCTTTCCACCCCCTCCAGGCTCCGCCCCCGGCCTCCCGGGGAGAGGACGAGATGGGCCCCCCAGACACTCCCTATCAGTCCCCTGACTGCCGCAGAACCCTGGAGGGAGGGATGGGGCTGGCGGCTAGGGACTGCAGGAAGGGGGGACCCAGGGCTCCGAGGGCACACGATAGAGTGTGCTTCCTCCTCCGGCGGGTTGTCCGGTTGTCCCGGGCTCCCCCAGCGGGGACTGCGTCAGAGCCGCACCCCAGCGCCGCTGCAGGAACCGAGAAGGGGGTTAGACCCAGAATCCCACCCCGTTTCCCTTGGGAAACCAAGAACACAGGGGGCTCAAGAGTGTCCTGGCAGGCCACAGGGCCCCCCCTCCCCACCCACCCCAAGTCCCTTTCCTGTTTCGGGTCCTAGTGCTGACCCCCCCACCCCGACCCCGGAGTTTCTGAGTTCAGAGTTGACTCAGAGCAGATTCCACGCATAGCGTTTGGAGCCGAGCTGGGGTGGGGAGGGGGGTGGGAAGAGGATGGAGTTGGAGGAGAAGGGGAGAGCTGGTCTGCAGCCTGCCCCCGCAGAACTGATCCTCTGAGGGCCCCTTCTCGGGAGACACCCTTACAGTACGGAGGGGTCTCCCCCAGCGAAGGAAAGCACATGAAGGTAGCAGCTTCACCTGCCCAAGAGAGGTACAGAAGCTCTACTTCCCACCCCACCCCTACTCCCACCCCCTACACATACACAAACCATCCACATCCACAGTAAATCCCTGTTTCTCTTTTGAAAATAATTCAATACTCTACCCTGGGGAAGATTGGCGGGCCCCCACCAAAGCCAGGAAGGGCTGGGAGCACTAGACTCTTCCTCGGCCACCTAGAATCCACCAGGCTCCGACCATTCTCCAGTCTAGCAGAGTATTAGTGCCCTCCTGACTTCACATGGTCAGTAACTGTCCAGACTCAGAATCACCAGCGCATGGATGTTCTTGTGACAGCCCCAGGCTGGCAGTCAGCTGGCCCTAATCCAATCTGCAATGGGGGAGGCCACAGCCCCTCCCATGAGGCTCCACCCCCCTTGAGTTGGGGCGGGGAGCAAGGGGGCAGAGAGCTTTGACATCTTAAACGGAACCCCTAGGGGGCTGTAAAGCTGGCAAAGAGCCAATAAGGAAATTCCACAGAAGAAGGGGGGGGGGCAGCCGTGAACAAAGCTGGAGGGATGCACTAGATGAACTGGGAAGATGGGGCCGCTTAGTTTTGCCCTTAGTAGTTATATGGGGTAGGGGAACAAGACCCAGGGACCGAAGAATTGGGGAAGTAGGTTCAGGAGATCAATGCCAACCTGACCCCCAAGACAGAGTTGGAGAACCAGTCAGGAGAACCTCAGTCTCTGCCCTGCACAACCAGGCAGACCAACCAGAACCCCACCCTGCCTCTCCAGGAGCTGCCGAGGGAGGGAGTGAACAGAGGGAAATTGGTAATGTCTCATCTTTAAAGACCGCAAATTTGAAGGAGGGGGGTGGAATCCCCAGAGCTTTCCCCTCTTGCATTCACCTCAAACCAAAAAAGTGGAAAGCTATATTTAACAGCTTCTAGCTCCTTCCACCCATTCTGCTCCCTAGATTCACAGCACCAAAGAAAAAATCCTTCCCTCTGACTGCCAATCTCCTTTTTCCCTTCTCCTTCCCTCTCCACAGCTAGCAAACTCACTCCTGGTGCCTCTGCCTTCTTCCTTTCACACCTGAAATATCATAGTTTACCAGAACGAAAATCTGCCAAAGAGACAATCCAGTACAACTCCCTCATTTGAAAGGGGAGTAAACTGAGGCCCAGGGAGAGAAAACCCAAGGTCACACAAGGGCAGAGCTTGGCCTAGAATCTAGCACCTCTCATTTCACTCTGCTCCATCCTCCTCTCCTCATGCCAAATGCACGTCCTCTCCCTCTATCAGATTGCCTCTCAAGTCGAGTTAAACCTCAATTCCCACCTAAACTCAGTGCCTCTAGTTATCCTGTTCCAGACTCACAGAATTTCCGAGTTGGAAGGAAACTTAATAGGCTGACCAATAATACCATCTACAAAATCCCCAACAAATGGTCACCTAGCTTTTTTTGGAAGACCTCCAGTAATGGGGAACTCATTACCTTCATTCAAGACAGCCCATTCCAATTTGTCCACTTCCTAAAGATTAGGAATTTCTTCCTTGGGAGAGAGACTCTCTTCACTGATTAGTCTGGAGTACTGTACCCTGGGGTGCTTAATAAACAGAAACTAACCCGATTGGCCGCTGGGGAGCGGGGTAGTTAAAGGTTTCATCTCTGATCTCTATAGAGCCTCAGCCCCACCTATTAGTATCCCAGGGCTCTGGAAGGAATTCACAGATCCTCCAACACCCAGCTCTCCGCTCCCCCCTCCCCCCAAGCAGTACCCCTGACGAAAAGTAATCGAGGCACTACCAGACTGACTCAGGTCAGCCACAGGGAATGGGCGGAAGGAGGTGAGGTGAGGAACAGGTTTGATACCAAAGACCTCAGCGCGGAGAAGGTTCATTCCTCGGATCAGAACAATTCCAGGTATCCTACCTAATAAACTCAAGCCTTTCTGACCCCCCAGCCTGGTTGACTCAAGGCTAATTTGTGAAGCAGCTGGAGATTTTAATTTTTTCCCCATTTTCAGAACACTCTTCCTTTCTCTCAGGAACCCCTAGCCTCTCCTCTAGGCCTTAGGAGGTGGTGGTGCCCGGGGACCAGGGATACTAGACCCCGGCCAGGGAAAGGATGTGTGCTTTCTCGGTGGCTCCACAGCGACTCGCTTAAAAATAGGGAAGCCCTGGGGCTCAGTGCATTTTCCCAACACCCATTGTTCCACCCCCAGAGTTCTCGAAAGTCACTCTACAACGGTCCCTTCTCACTCACAGGAGCTCAACCTTGAACTTGGAAGGGTTCCAATCCCTATCAAGAAAAGGTGAAAGCGATCTCAGAGTTCAACTCCGACAGTACGAAGTGAGGGGGGAGGGAGTGTGACTCCGGGTGTGGAGACCCTAGCAGAACGCGCAGCGGAGAGAGGGAGAGAAGACAGGGCGGGCAGGAGAGCGCTCCCGTCCAGCTCTGTCCGTCTCGGTTGAGTGAGTCGTGCGCTCCATTCCTCCCCACCACCGCTCCCACATTCCCTAGACTCAAAGTCAGTTACATAAGCCCAAGGAGCGCGGCAGCGGGGAGCGGGGCAGGCTCACACTGGGGCCGCCTCTACGCCTTAGGACCGCCCGGCCCGGCCAGCCCTGCGGAGGCAGTAACTTGGAGAGGCGGCCACCCGGTGCACCATTCTGCAGGAGGACGGAGACAGTCGCCAGATGCGCAGCTCCGCCCCTTCCCCCTCCAGCTGTTCCCTCGTTCCGCTTAGCCCTAGCCTGGGTCCCCCGCCCCCTCTCCGGATTCCAGGACGCCCCTCCAGCACTCCCAACCCCGGCCTCTGCCCTCCTGCACATTCTGACTTCGAACTCCTGACTCCCCACCTACCCTGGGGCCCGCACCCTCTCCCCGCTGACCCACCCCTGAACCCCAGAAGCTCGGGCCCTCCCCCCCCCCAACTTGGACGTCTCAGGCTCACCTGGCCGGAGCAGAGCTGGACGGGGCTCGGGGAGGAGCCGCGCCCGGCCGACCCGGGCCGCGCTGGACTCTTAACTCTCCTGCACTGTCGCCCTTTAAGAGTCGCTGGCCACTTTGCCTGCGCCCTGGGCCTCCACCTGCACTGACGGGGCAACTCTGACGCTCAGACCCCGCCCCAGAGCCCGGAAAGCTCCTTGATTGGCCTAAGCCGCTGCCTATCGCCGGCACGGAGGGGAAGGTGGGGCGGAGGAGTCTGAGCGCTACAGAGGGGCAGGGTCTTGGGGTCTCAGGTGTGGCCCCCGCCCCCTTCCCGGTCTAAGAACTCTTGGAGAAGGAGCAGCCCTAGAACTGGGACGGCCAAGAGGGGAGGGGGAGGAAAAAAAAAATCTATAGTAGGGGCCCTCTGATTGGCTAATAAGATCTTTGCTGTGATATGACGTAATGGTGACGCCATCCACCACATGGCGGTGTCCCTATGACTGTAACTCCAAGGGGGAGGTTGATCCGGAAGGCCAGGAGGTCAGTACAGGTTTGGGACCAAAGATGCCAGCCAGGCTTTAGAACAGTATCAAAAAATAAATAAATAAATAAATAAAAAATAGATAGATACAAAAGTTAAAAAAAAAAAACAGTATCACCTTCATCGTGAGTAAAGGGTGCTCTTTCTGTAAGCCACCCCACTAAACAGCACTCTTCCTGCTCCTCACCCCTAATTTCTACACTCTGCTTTCTCCCCTCAGATTCTCCTAACTCCTGTCTGTATTCTTTCCCGCTGCAGAGGCTCCAGCCTCTGCCCAGGTATCCTATCTGATAATTCCGAGCCCTTCTTGACCCATCAGCCTGGTTGATTCAAGGCAAATTTGTGAAGCAGTTGAAGATTTTAATTTTCTCCCCATTTTCAAGATCCTCCTCCTTTTTCTCAGGAGTTCTGTGCCATTAGTTCCAGGACCCAGATTCCCCATTTCATTGCCCCACCAGGGCCTGTCTTGGCCTCTTGCCTTCTCCCATTCAATAAACACTTATTAAGGACCTACTGTGTGCTAGACACAGTCAGAGATAAGAGATGAAGGATTCACTGTGCCTCCACTAATAGAACTTACAGTCTGGTAGGGGGCATGACACAAAGACAAACAAGTAAGTTCTCCTTTCCTGCCAGTCTGTCTATTCCTTCTAAGTCTTCTTTGTCCTAAGGGGGAGGCTCCAATCGTCCTGATCTATACCTTGCCACTGGACTCAGGTGTCTCCAGAGGAGAAAGTGAGGCTGGTGACTGCACAGCCCTCCCTCACTTAAATCCAATTCACTTGCAAGTCATGCCATCACCTTCCTGCTGTCATGGTCCTCTTCAAGAACGAAAGACAAACAGCAGCAACCTTTGTCCTGAACCTTTCTCTCTTCTCTATTTACAAAGCCTCTCTTAGTGATCTCATCAGCTCTCATGTGTTCAATGATTATCTCAATGTAAATGACTCCCAAATCTATATATCCAAACCTCATCTCTTTCCTGAGTTCATATTCCTCCCCACAACCTCCTACTAGATATCTCCAATTGGAGTACTGAGTACTCAGTTTTTTTATTATAGGTATCTCAAACTCAAAATGTAAAAAAAAAAAAAAAATAGACTAAGTTCAGAAATTCTGGCTCGCTATGGTCCATGGGGTCATGAAGAGCAGGACACCATTGAATGACTGAACAACAACAGCAAATTAATTTACTAGGTAATTCAATCCAATTCAACAAACATTCAGCACCTATTATGTGTCAGACACAGAAAATACAAAGTCAAAGACAATCCAGGTACTCAAGAACCTCATATTCTACACCCATTACTCCTCCTACTTTCCCTGTTTCTTTGGAGAGTAGCCCCATCCTGCTAGGCACCCAGGTTAGCAACATCAGAATCAGGCCCAATTCTTCCCTCTCCCTCACACCAGCCCCTCCATCAGTCACCAAGTCTTAGTATATCTGTTCCCTTCTATCCACTCACACAATCACTACACTGGTCCAGACCCTCATCACCTCCTGCTTGGACTATTGCAGAAAACTCCTAATTCATCTCTCTACTTCAAGTCTCTCCTAACTCCAATGTATCCTTTACCTAACTGCCAAATGACTCCCTATTGTCATAGAATCATATCTATAATCCCCAGTCTGACATTGAAAGCCCTTTTCAATCTAGCTTTCCTTTCCCACCCATCTTTCCCATCTTATTTCCTATTTCTCCCCTTCACATATCCACATATTCTCTGGTTCAGGCAAATTGACCTGTTAGCTGTTCCCCATTATTATCCCCATTTTACAGACAAGGAATCTGAAGTCCAGAGAGATTAAGTGATTTGTCCAGGGTCACACAGTTAGTGTCTGAGACAGAATTCGAACTCAGGTCTTCCTGACTCCATAACCAGGATACCACCTAGCTTCCTAAAATCCTTGAGCTTCCTTCCAGGCTCAGTTCAGATACCACCCCCTACAGGAGGCACTTCCCAATCCCTCCCTCTTGTTGTTAGGACTGCCTCCCTCTTGAAACTACTTATCAGTACAGGAAAGATCTGTCCTGTAGAATACGAGGTTCTTGAGTACCTGGATTGTCTTTGACTTTGTATTTTCTGTGTCTGACACATAATAGGTGCTGAATGTTTGTTGAATTGGATTGAATTACCTAGCAAATTAATTTGCTGTTGTTGTTCAGTCATTCAATGGTGTCCCGCTCTTCATGACCCCATGGACTATAGCGAGCCAGAACTTTCTGTCCTACACTATCTCCCAAGTCTGCCCAAGCTCATCTTTGTTGTATCCATGACACTGTCTATCCATCTCATCCTCCGCCATCCCCTTTTCCTTTTGCCTTCAATCCCAACATCAGGGTCTTCTCCAATGAGTCCTTCTCACTATGTATTTAAGTATTTAAGCTTCAGCTTCGGTATTTGACCTTCCAGTGAAGAGTCTGAATTAATTTCTTTATGTATTAACTGATCTGAGAATCCAAAGGATTCTCAAAAGTCTTCTCTAGCACCACAATTCAAAAGCATTGATTTTTGTGGCACTCAGTTTTCCTTATAGTCCAAGTCTAACAGCCATACATTGCTACTGGAAAATCCATAGCTTTGACTATATGGACCTTTGTTGGCAAGGTGATGTCTCTGCTTTTTAGCATGCTGTCCAGATTTGCTATAGCTTTCCTTCCAAGGAGCAAATGTCTTTTAATTTCATGGTTGTAGTTTCTGTCTTCAGTGATCTTTGAGCCCAAGAATATAAAATCTGACCTTCCTTCCATTTCTTCTCCCTCTATTTGCCAGGAAGTGATGGGACCAGTTGCCAAGATCTTAGTTGTGTTTTTTTTTTTTTTAACATTAAGCTTCAAGCCAGCTTTTACACTCTCCTCTTTCCTCATCAACAGGCTTCTTAATTCCTCTTCACTTTCTGCCATCAAAGTTGTCTCATCTGCATATCTGAAATTGTTGATATTTCTCCTGGCAACCTTAATTCTGGCTTTTAATTTGTCCAGTCTGGCATTTCTCATGATGTACTCTGCATATAAAAAAGTGCTAGGATCAGAGTGGGAAGGTTATTGCCGACAGAGTATCAAGGAAGATTCTCTGGAGGATGTGAAATTCTAGTTCAGCTTTGAAGTTTGGGTAGGAATCCAAGAAGTGGATGGCAGACATTCCCTCTCAATATACCTCTTTCCTCCTTCCTCCAAATGTACCTTCTCATTGTCCTCTCTTCTCAGGGCTCTGCTGTGTTTTCAGAGTTAATCTGTTAATGTGTGTGTGTGTGTGCTGGGGAGGAGGGGGGGGTGTCAGTCTGTCTTTGCATTCTCTCACCCCCAGACCCTCCCCTCCCCCAGGAGGCTCATTCCTTTCTCTATTATCCTCCCTAATCAATGTCCTCCCTCCTCCTCTCCACTTACTTAAATCCTACTCATCTTTCAAGGCCCAGGTAATAGTAAGGTCCATCTCTTCTGGAAAGTCCTTCCTGATCACTCTGCCCCATTGAGGTTCCCCTCCTGCAAACCCTAAAATCATATCATAGTATTTAAAGCCGTAAGAGATCTTAGACATCTGGTCTAACCAGTGCATTTTACAGACAAGGAAAGTGGAGCCCAGAGAGCCACTTAACCACATATTGTCTTGTATTGTTTCTTTCATTTTTCTTCCATGTATTCCAATTAAATATTCTGTTGGACTATTAATAATCATGGAACACTCAGGCTGTCAGGGATGTTGAATGGCATCTGGTTCAACTCTCTCATTTTACAGAGGAAGAGAATAAGGTCTAGAGATAGAAACTGACTTCCAAGGTCACAAAGACAGTAAATCACTGAAATAGACTTTGATCTTTGGTCTTCTGACTCCAAATCCAGTGCTCAGTCCCCTATGCGACACTAGATCTTATCCTTTCAGGTTGTCACACACATGTATGTTTTATCTTACCCAGCTAGACTAGAATCTCATTGAGGACAGACATGATATCTTACACTTCAGTGTACCCCACCAGATCCACTTACACAGTAACTGATTGATAGGTATTTGTTGAGTGAGTGAATACATAGAGTGAATGAGCAAATGAATATAGAAGACCCTAACCCAAAGATATAACTAGCAATTTTGGTCCTGGGGCAAGCAGCATAAAATGTACCTTTAAATAAACAAATATTTTGGGAGGTCATGGGGTATAGGACACAGGGCCTTTGGGGGGGGGGGAAATAGAGACCCTGTGACATTGGACCAGCAGGGGTGAAGAGCCCAGGATATTGTTTGATTGCTACCAGGAAAGCTATTATGAGACAGAAGTGTATACAGTTGGTAGTTTCCTCCTTTAACTAATTATTCTTGCTTAGTCCACAGTGCTAGGCAGTTGTTTCTCTATTATTGAAGCAAAAGTGCTGTCAGCACTCTCCAGATTTTGGTCCAGTAAAACAGGCTCCATTAACTCTCCTCTTAATTACAGTTCTCCCCCGCCCACAACCTCTCTTTTTTTCAGGCCCCTCCAGAATTTCCACCCTAGAGTAAGAATTATCTGCTAACCCTGGGTACGTCAGGAGAATTCTCTGACCCCTTTGAAGAAAGTGTCTAGAAAAGGCATTGAAGGCATAGAGAGATGTATATAAATCCATATTTAGAGAACCTTATTTTCAGCTGCATATGCTTTCCTGGGGTCTAGCTGATGGGTGGGGTTAGAAAGACTTTGTTCCCTTCTGCAGACCACGCTGTATCCTTTTCTGACCCAAAGGATGTCAAGGTGGAAGGAAGGAAGCTGGTATGTCAGGGTTCCCGTTCAGCCCTTAGCAAAGTGGATACTTGAAGAGACCTTCACAGAG